CCAACCAACCAACCAACCAACCAACCAACCAACCAACCAACCAACCAGAGTCTCAACAGTGAATGAGTAGCACACACTTCCAAATATCCCTGGATAGGCCTCAATAGTCCTCTAGACGCTGATTGGCTTCCTCTAGGTTTCGGCTGGACACCTGGCCCTTCCAGTGGTTCTCAACCTTCCTAATGCTGTGACCCTTTGCTACATTTCCTCATGTATCAAACCATAACATTGTTTTTTGCTGCTTTGTACGTGTAATTTTGCTATGGTTGTGGGTCATAGTGTAAATGTCTGATATGCAAGAACTCAGATATGCCACCTCTGGCGGGGTTTCGACCCCACGTTGAGAACCAGGGCTCTAAACGCTGTGGTAAGCAGACTATAATACTTCTTGCCTCTGTTTACTTCCTGCAGATGGATCTGTCCGTGGAAACCCTCTTTTGCTTCATGCAGGAGCGCCAGAAAAGATATGCCAAGTATGCAGAGCAGATCCAGAAGGTGAATGAGATGTCGGCCATCCTCCGCCGCATCCAGATGGGTATTGACCAGACAGTGCCACTGATGGAGAGGCTCAACAGCATGCTGCCAGAGGCTGAGCGTCTGGAGCCCTTCAGCATGCGGCCCGAGAGGGAGCGGCTCTAGCAGGCACCTGCCTCCCGGGCGCAGCTCCAGCCTCCGCCTGGGCCCAGATGTTTGCCTAGATGTGTTTGACTGGCACGGATTTCCTCGCATAATTGGTTTTGATAACTGAAGTTGGGACAGTTGACTTTCCAGGAATTCTTGTAAAAACTTTGCATCGAGAGTTATCTTTATTTTGCTCAGATTTTTTGAATTAAAAGTGTATATAGTCTAGCTACTGCAATGGAACTATGGGGGAAATGTTAGCTACTGCATTGAAACTGTGGGGGAAATGTTAGGAAACTGTGTTCTCCTTGGCACCTTGTGAGACTTTACTCAGGCTCTCTCAGTTGTGGTTGTAAATATAAGATCTGACTGAGTCCAGTTACTGTTTCCAACCAACAGCAACCATCACACCAAGGAGGCATCGGCCCTGTCCTCCTGCCCTGCCAGAACACTGCCTCTTTGTTTTTCAGGTACTGTGCCCCCTTTGCGGGTCACTGGAAACGGCAGACTCCCTTCAGCCGCTCATGAAGTTGTTGCCCATTGTTAACTGCTTCCCATGCAGAGTTCAGAGTCCAGGCTTCTCTCAACTGAGCAGGCCTCGGCTTCACAAGGTTTGCACCAGCTTTGCTCCCCCCCTCCAGTGGTGGTCATTCTCTCGTTCCAGAGATCCACTGAGTTTCTTTGTTGGTGTGCCAGGGACACTAAAGGGGCCACATAGCCTCTGCCCTCCACTGATGTTTTTGGGTCATGAAGCTGGGGAAAGAGCATCTGTTCATCACAGGTGTGTAGCGCTCTGCTTTATTTGGGGTTCCCTAAAGCCTCTCCCTTCCAACCCCCAACCTAGGAAGGAGAGGGAAGGTTAGTGGGGAGAGGGCACACAGACCCTTTACTTCTCCCGGCTGTTTAGGGTCGATGGCTTCTTTTAGGGCTATACCAATTCTGCATCAACAGCAAAAGCAACCAGCAGTTGCCTCCAAGCTGCTGTGCCACAAAGCATCTCTGGTCTCTCCAAACTGCCACTCAACACATGCCACCCTTTCTCTCTGAGGGCTCTCCTATTTCTAACCCTTGGAGTCCTAGACCACGCCCCTCTCAGTGCAGCACAAGGCAGGGCGTTACCAGCTGGCAATGATCAGCAGTGGACAAATTAAAGTCCCACACTTGGGATTAAAACAAAAACATATTTCCATTACATAACTTGAGTTTTTAAAGAAACCAAAACTTCCATCACACAGGTGTGCTGAGGAAGAAAGGCCTGAGGAAGGGAGGGATGGGATGAATGCAGGGGACAGGTCAGAAGATAGGGGCTGGGTATGAGGAGGTTGTCAGGGCTGGGAGCTTGCAGCTGCTACCTCATTCCCTGTGTGTTCTGTCAGGTGTCAGAATAGCTTCAGTGTTTTTATAAGATTAAAATGAATCTGATTAATTTATTATACAGCAGCTAAACTTGATCTGATTCTGATCTCTTTTATTTTTAGTTTTATTATTATTGTGGTTGTTTATGATGTGTTGTGTGTGAGTAGGATTGTCACAGTACATGCTTGGAAGTCAGAAGACAACTTTGTGGAGTTGGTTCTCTCCTTCCACCTTTATGTGAATTCTGGGGCTGGAACTCAGGTCTCTGTCTAGGCTTGCACGACAAGCACCTTGACTGAGCCATCTTACCAGGCCCCTCAAGCCCCCCAAATCTGATTTCTTAATCAGATACTAATTTATATTGCTCTTAGAACCCAGATTAAATGTAGGGCGTATGATAGTTGAATGACAGAGGAAGCATGAACATTCAAACTATGGGGAAGAAAAAAGATTAAATTATACACAGAGAAAAACAGTAACATCTAGTAATTTCTTTTTGTGGGGGATGGGGGTTATAAAAGATCTGTGTGCTTCTAGCTGGCCTGGAACTCACTACTAGGCTAAGCTGACCTTGTGGCCGCATCCTGCCTCTGTGTCCCTAGTGCTGAGGGTACAGGCACTGCTTTACCAGCCCTAATATGTCCAGTCTGTTCCAGATGACTAAATAGATCAGGATTGTCCGTTTCTTCACAGCTGGAAGTACCCAGGCAGGTCCTGCCACTTGCCGGGTAGCTTTTGTTATATTCTGCCTCCCTTCTTGGGGCTGATGATCTCATTCCCCGTGGAAGGGGGTGAGGTGGGCTAGAGAGCTTTGGGGAGCTGCAGCAGCAGGCTGGGAGTGGGCCATCATCTTACCTCTTTTGGGATCCCTGGTGAAGGTGGTCTCATGACTGGCCATTTCTAGAGCAGTTCCCTGGAGGTACAATTTAAAACAGGTGTTCTATAGCTCAGAAATCTATTAATCCCCCTCGGAGGTTCTAGTGCATGTCACGGGTGAAGGAAATGGCAGCCTGCATTAAGCAATCCCCCCAGTGTTTTCAGCATATTATCCTTCTGTCTCATGTCTATGTTCAATTGTCAGATAACTGAGGCTCTAGCTCCAGACTGAGTTCTGATTCATTCATCTTTCCCCCCATATTGTTTCATGCTATTTTTGATTTTTCATGCAGCTTTATATTATTTCCACAAAGTATTTTAATGTGTGATGTGGCTAGATGAAACACCATTTACCTTCAGAAGTAGTTTTGACTTTCCTTCTATGTTTCAACTGGACAGAAAGTTGAACAGTAACAGTACGCACTCATCTCTTTACCTAGACCAGCAGGAGACATGTTTAAAGCCACCATGATCATAGTCTCTCCTGGGGTTTGTGGATTACTTGGAAGCCAGCTTTGTACACAGAGACATGCTCACAAACCTACAAAGAAAGAAGGGCTAATTGTCCACAAGCTGTGTGAAGAGTGTAGGCATCAGGCGCCGCCCTCAACTTTGCTTTGCTTAGTGAGGGCCTGAAGTGCTGCTCAGACTCAGGCCCAGAGGCTGCGCTCCCCTGCCATCTCCTTATTTCATGGCAGAAGGGTTGTGTCAGGAAAGAAAGTTGGAGCAGCCGGCTCTCTTTTTCTTCTAAGAAATTATGGCCAGCCAGAGCTTGTTAAGAGTCCTCCTAGTTTAACTTGGGTGAGTGAGGTGGTGTGAGCGTGGCTAAGCTAAACCATTTCCCAGAAGCCCCTCCTGGTCTACTTTGGGGTGGGGTTGGACACCAGTGACCTTTCCATAAGATTTGGAAGAAGGAGGAGCTGAAAGCTGACTCAGTTCAGCCCTGTTCTACCTTGTACAGAGCTGCTGGGGTGCTGCAGCCCAGGGAGTTAGTGTCGGCTTCTCCTTTGAGCATTCATGGCACATGGATGAAGGCTCTGCTGTAAGGAGAAACTGCTGAGGGCTTCTAGGATCCTCTCCCAAGGGAAGCTGGGAAGCTGAGTGATACATCTGTTATGTTGTCTGTGATGGCACCTGGCCAGTACAGGTTATTGCGGAGCTGTCAGAAAGCCCTGGAAGGAAGCTTCTATCCTTGGTTTTTGGTAAGCCATTTTTATTTCCCTGACCCCTGGGACTACAGTTTGGAGCTAGTGTCCCACAAAGGCCCATTAATGTGAAAGGCACAGTCCTCAGAAAATGGTGCTGTTGGAAAGAAGTAGGAGATGGGCCTGGTAGGAGGAAGTCGGGTCACTGGCAGCCATGCCCTTGAAGACAATAATCTCCCATTCTCCATCTGCCGTCAAGTCTGTGAATCAACTCTAGTCATTTGTTTTGGTTTTTGCGATGGGGTTTCACATAATCCAGGCTGCTGTCCTTGAACTCATTATGTAGCTGAAGGTGATCTTGACTTCCTTATGCTACAGCCTCTTTCCCCAAGTGCTAGGATAATGGACAGGTGCCACCACACCCAGCACTGGGGGTGCGTGCTTACTTGTTCCTAGGCAGTGAGTTCTCAAGGTCTCTGTTCCTCCCTCCCCTCCTTGCTTTTTAAACCAGAGTTCCACCGTGCCTCTGAGAATCGCTTTGCTTCCCTATGATGTGCTTGTCTGTATTTAGGGACAAGCACTGCACTGACTGGAGGTTCTTTACTACAGTGAAGGGGGCCTTCACGCTTATTTTATGCACGCAGGTGTTTTTAATACACATAGGGTGGTGTTAAAACAAGAGGTAATGAGGTCTGGGGGCCCACACTTCTAGTCCCAGTGCTTGGAAGCTGAAGTGGGAGGATCATTGTAAATTTAGGGACAGCCTGGGCTAAGCAGAGTTCAAGGACAACCTAGACTACATTGTAGATTTCATGTTTTGCTGGCTACTTTTATTTATGTCAGTTTGACACAAGCCAGTCATTTACAAAGAGGGAACTTCAACTGAGAAAACACTCCCACTAGCTTAGCCTGTGGGCAAGTCTGAAGCGCATTTTCTAGTTTGATGATTTGATGCGGGAGGGCTCAGCTCACTCAGGTATGGGCACTCACCCATGGGCTGGCGGTCCTGCATTCCATAAGAAAGCAGGCCATGAGGAGCAAGCCAGCTGCATCAGCTCCTGCCTTCAGGTTCCTGCCCTGACCTCCTCACTGATGGACTGTCATGTGGAAGAATAAGCCAAATTAATCCTTTCCTCCCCAAGTTGCTTTGGGTCCTGGTGTCTTTGGTTCCCTCAAAGTTATATAATTAGTAATCACATCTACATCCATGCGATATATGCATGTATACTATATAATTTCTTGCCTTTTAGAAGTTAACTCCCTAAAACATAAAATACCTAACTAGTGCTGTATGCAGAGTAAATATCTGATGAGTCTCAGGAACTTTGGAACAGAGGAATGGTTTCATTTGGTTGGCTTTTGTGGTTTCTTTGGTTCAAGTGCTAGCAAGTCAAACCCAGGGCCTTGCACATGCTAGGTAAGCACTCTGCCACTGAGTTACATTCCCAGTAATGAAGTCTCTGTGTAGTCCTGGCTGGGCTAGAACTCTGTTCCTCCCTTCCTCCCTCCCTCTCCATATATGTGTGTGTGTGTTATAGAACTTTGTGGAACTGGTTCTTCTATCTTGACATGGGTTCTGGGAATCTTGAAATCAGGTTTCCAGGTCTGCAATGGCAGCACCGTTACCCACTGAGCCATCTCACTGGCCATGATTTCCTTTATGGCCATTACTGTCTGCCTTGTACTGACAGCATCTCATCTCTATAGTGTGTCCTTTTGATTCAACTGGCAAGGCTAGGCTTCTAGTATGATCAAATGTCATTAAGGTATATGTGGCATGGAGAACAGATTTTTTTGGGGGGGTTGAGATCGGGTCTCATTAGGTACTGACTGGCCTTCTAACCTACTGTGTAGCCAAAGACCATAAACTCCTGGGGTTTCTACCTTCAGACCCCAAGTGCTAGGACTGCCATCATCTGCCACTCTGGTTTATACAGTGCTGGGGACCAAATTCAGCGCCTCATGAATGCAAGGTAAGCACTCGACTAGCTGAGCCTCATTTCAGCTTCTAAGAACCATGTGTAAAAGCTCTCCTCCCTCGGTCTACCCTGTAAGGACTATGAAGTCGTTTATCTGTGGTAGGTGCACATCAAGCAGCTGTCTTTGTGTATCCTGCAACCAGGCAGGTAGGAAGGCCTTGGCATAGGGACTGCAGGCCAGCATCTGCCACTGTGATATATCACACATGTAATATATCAGCTGCCATTTCCACTTTATATTATTTTTGAGACAGGGTGTCTCTGTGTAGCCTTGGCTGTCCTGGACTCACAGCGATCCACCTGCCTCTGGCTCTGCCTCCCTGAATGCTGGGATTACAGGCGGGCATCACCACGCCCAGTGATGCTTCCATTTGAAGTGGTTAAACTCGTCTGTGGTCCCGTGACTCCCTTCCTTTGCAGCTTAGACAGCATGCTCCCACCAAGGTTGAGAGCTGCAAGGAGAGGTCCCTTCTCACACTTATGTATAAACAGGTACCAGTTCTGATTTTATTTTACCATATTAACATACATGACACATCAAAATGAGAAATGCACAAGTGAACCATTCAACAGCTTGCCTTACTCCAAAGAACACAATATTCATATTAAACATTTATACAGTCTTTCCACTCCAACTTTACAAATGGTCTAAACAGTTTCCAGCATTTCTCACAGAGTCTAGGTTTGCTCATTAAAATCACTGCTTTGCGTCATCCCAGTAGACTCCAGGCTTCCCTGTGCTCACGCGAGGAGAGCCAACCCCCACACCGTGCCTCAGAGGCAGCCCTTTCAGCATGGTAGTGGTGATTCTAAGAGCTGACGATATGAGTGATGAAGGGCTGACAGTGCAGTGTATGGCTGTCAGCTGTAGAGAAGGGCCACGGCCCAGGGAGCCCTCCCTGTGTGGCACAGGCAGTGCGCCGCCCAAAGACACCGAAGCCCCACTCCCAATATCCTTGGAACGCACTTAATGATGGAGCTGTTGCTTTCGTTCTTAACTTAGGTCTTACCAATGTGACCAGATTTTAAGATGGTGGATTCTTAGACGTTTACTGTGTGTACACAATGTATCAAAATTTACTGTGAAGCTTTGAG